TTTCCAAATAAGGCATGAGACTGTCAGTGGTCCGTCCCCGCCCCTTTCTGTTTGCTGCAGCGAGGTCCTTCTCCCCTAACCCGCTTGTTGGAGTATCGGACCGTAATGATACCGAGTAAGCCTGGAGGAGCGCGGCTGTTTAAGATCGCTGCATTTATTTAACTGTAAATAAGTTTACTAGTTCCCTGATAAAGTTATTAAAGTCACATTTTGAGATTTTGTGGATCTTCTAAATAAAAGGCCCGACCTCGACCCTTTCGCGGAGTTTTGTTTAGTTGCTGAACTCGCTGAAACACCCGAGAAACAAAAATGGCGCCAGGAATCAGCAGCGGATTGAGACCGGGCTAGTCTGGTAATAAACACCCCCATGTTTTTACTCTGTCCCTCGTACAGAGGGTTTGGACTTTATGCTATAAGAACCGATTCCTGGAGGTGTGAACTTTGTTGAAGTTTTAAATGTTGCCGTATAGCTTTGTCTGTTACTTACTCATGTTAGCTGATGATGAGGCTATGAGTTTTCCGGCCTGCACGCGACAGCTCAAGACGTTACTGTACCCGTTTTTACGTGCTTCTTTCACAATAAAAGCGCACATCCGGTTCATGTTTGATCTACTGCAAGTAGATTTCCAGCGGCTTTAAGTTTAGACTTTGTATTTATGCAGTTGCAAAAAGAAATAATGTGTCGGAAATAATTGGGGACATTAAGCAATGCAGAAAAACTCAATGTTTCCAGTGACTTCTGTCACTTCTGGGTGACAGAGGGACACTGTGACGTAACAGACACGTAACAGACACCTCTAGAACAAAACCAGCAAACGTCTGATGTTTACAGACCGCGGTGGCTGAATGCTTTGCTTATGGTTTTCTGGTCTTTCTGAAGCTCTCCACAAATGGTCCTTGACTTTTTGACCAATTTTATGATAACTTTATTTTCTTTTCTGCCTGAAACCTTGAAAGAATCATTTTGGTCATTCCATGTTACCACACGTCATTTAATTTATGGGCGTCTGTATTCTGATGTCTTTGCATGTGGGCTGGGCGGGTTGTTGCTGCCACCTGGTGGAGATTCGGTGTCAGTGGCACTTAAAATGTATCCACTCAGAAAAATGTTTTATTTATCCACTTTATTATTCTGAAAATGACAGTTTTGTGTCTTTATCCAGCCTGTGTAGGATCTACTGCTTGGGAATAAAATACAGCAACAGAGATTAACCCTCAATGTTACAGCAGCTTCACTAAATCATTATTTAAATAATAATTTATTATGTAGCTGAAATTTGTTTAGCATGCATTGTTCAGCAAGTTTAATGCAATAAATATTTTAGTTGTATAAAACGAACTGAAACATGAAAATTGTCTCACTGACAGGAGTAAAAATGTTTCCCTTTCTGCAGTGATTAATTTAGCTATCTTAATCTGATTATGTCTTTTATGAAGCATGAAATAAATCCTCACCCTCCCTGGTTCACTTTGTGAAGCAGAAAAATATCAGTTTGTTTTTCAGCAAAGACCCTGAACATGAGCAGAGTCATTTAATGACGGCTTTAATGAGCAGAAACCATAAAATCATCATCCTGACACATTTCCTGTAATTCACCTTTTCATCTCAACACTAAACCCCCACACACACACACACACACACACACACACACACACACACACACCCTCCTCTCTTATCCCTCTGCAAAAACACAAACTCACCTCATCTGAATGCACAGTCTTTATTTTTTAAAGTTTAAAATAAGTTTCAATGAGTTTTCAAAGCAGGGCTGTAGGAAGCTTTTTACAGGTCTGGGGGCTTTGGCCCGACTTCTGCTGTTTCCCACATCCACAGTAAATCACTCAGATTTATTCCAAGTTTTAAACCCAGAATAAATTAAAACTGAGTTTATATTCTAGACTGAGGTGAAGTCTGAGTTATTGGAGCAGTGAAGAACCATCAGAACCATCAGAACCATCAGAACTACGACCCGGATGGATCCAGGAGGGTTCTGGTTCTGCCAGGTTTAAAAACTCAGAATATAATTCAGTAAATATTGTTTTATGCATCTAATTATTTTGGGTTTTGTAACAATATTACTAAGTCACTGATCAGATCATCCAATTAAATTTATTTAAAATTATGTAATCAGAAATATATTAATATACACGTAATTGTATACATGTATGTATAATGTCACTTTTATTAACATGATGACAAAAAACAAATTTAGTCAGATCTCTGACTTTCCAAATACTTTTTTCAATATAAAACTTATAAAATAAATACTTACAGCAGGTTTTGTGTATATATTTATATATCTCAGTTTACAGTGCTTTTAGTAAAAATGATATTTAGCTGAATCTTCTTGATCAGTAACATATTTTACTGAAAATATGGTTTTAGTAAAAAAAAAAAAAAGAAAGAAATTACGGAACAAAATAAATAATGTTGGACCAACAAAGCTGGTGTAGAAACAGGAGGTCTCACTTCAACATGAATTTTAGGTGTCTTGGTTAAAAGCTGTTTGTTCTTCATCCAGTGAAGTTTCTCTCGGCGGGTCGAGGATCCAGAAATATTCCTCAACTAAAGGTAAAAGTACATTGAAACTGTTAATGTGATGATTTTACCCAAAAACAGATGAACTGAAACTTCCTCATAAAGACAGAATGTCATTTATTCTGAGAGGAGAAATTTATAAAATGTTTCCTCAGTGACTAAATTTAGACGTTTTGCTGTAATGAGTGAAAACAAGCAGCAGGAAACCATCAGAGCTCCAGTATAAATGGATCTGATGGTGGGTTTTCCCAGCGGGTCGTAATTCGACCCGTTTGCTTTGCTCTGGTTCTGAGGAACCAGTCGGGTTCATGACTCACTTTCTTCTTCTGCTGATGGAATAAAGCTGCCATCCGGTTTGGGAAACTTATCAGGAAAACGTGGATTAATTTCCAAATAAAACCAATCAAAGGTTTTCACAGTTTCCACATTTCATCCAACCAGTTTGTTTTACTGGGACTTATTGGGACAAACCAGCAGGAAGAGGCCCCTTTTACTCTGATGCCTCTAAATAAAACCGCCATTGGTGCACCGTAGATGAATTAAGAGAGATTATTAGTAATAGTTATTTTAGTGATATTAACCAAGAGAGTAAATCCGTTTCTCCTGGTGGCTGAATTTGGGTTTTTTAGTTAAAATATGATTTAATAATATTCAGAATTGTTGCAGCATTTTAGTCTCCAGGTTTATTCATGTTTTTATTTGCATAAACTATGAAAATCCCAGTTATTAAATGAACGTTGATACCAAACTGGCTGCAGCTGCTCTGACATGTTGCATAAATCAGAGGTTCTGTTTGGGTCTGGATGTGGAAACGTCCTGAGTGGTTCTGCTTTTCCAGCTCCGGATCCTTCAGTCGGAGGAAAACTTGTAACTTTTTCTTCTGTTTCCTGTTTGTAGGAAACTTGCTGCATCATGAATCTGAGTAGTTCTGGTTCTGATCCAAACCGCTGCTGGTTTTCTGTGGAATCAGACGTTTGGTTTCTGCAGGTTGGACCTGCTGCTGTTTTGGTTTCAGTCTGAATCATTTCCAGTCACTCGGTTCTGCAGGTCCGATCCGGCCGCTGGGTCTGACTAACTCTTACTGGAATGCAGCAGCTGCGTTTCCTGCTCTGAACTCCTCATGGATTTCACAACCGCAGCGACTGATTGGCTGCTGGGAGGAACACAGCACTCACTGGATCCGCCTGCGCGGCCCGGTTCTGTTTGTTAACGGGTCAGAACCGCAGCTGGACGTTTCCCTCTGACAGCTGAATCCCTGCGGATCGTCCCGTTGACGGATCTACAGCATCTGGAAGCAAATCAGGATTAAAATGATCCGGTTCTGGTTTCTGCTGCTGGTTCTGATCCAGCTGAGTCAACAGAACCAGACAGGTGAGTTTCTCCTTCGCTCCGGATTAACAGAACATGTTTAAATGCTCAGATTGACGGGATTATGGACCAGTTGAACAGTTTGGACGGTTTGTTAGGGAATCAACAGAAAAACTGAATTTTGACTAAATCCGACCAGAATCACAGAATCTGCAGCAGAATTTAAATTTGTGATCCGTTTATTTAGAAACAGATTCAATTATTTCAGTTTCTGCTACTGATTATTAGAAGGTTAAATATTTATTTATTTGTAAAACTATATTTTAGTATTTGTTTGTGCTGGAATTATAAAATCACCTAATATTATGACTTTATTCTCTTATTTCAACTTTAGTGTTTTACGAGTTTTTCTCAGATTGTTTCTTTATTCTGATGACAGTGACTTTGTTCTCACATTGTTATAATTTTATTCTTGTGATTTTATGACTTTATTCTCGTATTATTTCGGCTTCATCGTAATTTTATTTCATTTCTTCTTATCCTGGTTGTTGTTCTTTGTGGTTTTGTGAATATTTGTGCCGTTTGCTGCTCGTTGTCCAGATTAAATCCAGATTAAAGGTTTAAGCTCAGCAGGTTTCCCCCAGTGTACAGTAAGCCTGGCGGGCCACCAGGCTCCAGTTGTTCTCCCACCAGGCTGAGCATTGCTTATTTATTTAAGTCTTTTTAAAATGTTTAGGTATTAATATTCCAATAACACGTAATTATCAAGTGACATTTTTATATTTCCTGTCAACTTTCAACATTTTCTAACTCAAAAACCCGACTGGACCGGCACCAAGCCACCGGGTTTGGCAGGTTCTCTGGGGAAACTTTGCTCAGGTTGATCCTTCAGTGATGATCAGAACCATGAGGTTGTCATGGTAACGTTATCTGTCCTTTCCTCAGGTGTTTCTCAATGCGGGCCTCAGAACCTGACCGTCAGCCGATCGGACCAGACGGTTCTGGTAGAGTGGGAAGACGCCGCGTCCTGCTCGGCTCTGAATGACCCGATTCTCTACAACGTGACGATTCTGGTGGAGAACCAGGAAATTCACTCAGTGAGTCTGACCCGAACGGGTTGATAAAAGCCCACCGGTCCTGCTGGTTCTGACCCGCTGTGGAAACGTTTCAGGACGGAGTCTGGGTGGCGCCGGGCCTTGTCGGGTCGGTCCACTCCTGGAACTGGACGTCTCCTCTGCCGATGGACTGCGCTGCTCACACCGTCAGGCTGAGAGCCCAAATCGACAACCAGCCGAGCCGGCCGGGCCAGGAGCGGACTCTGCCGGGTCAGTACCTCAGAACCCAACAGTCCTAGTCAAATCAAGTCGAGTAGCAGGGCCCATTTCAGCAACAAGAAAGTTCTACATGTTATCAATGCCATCATCAACGTAAGTATGCAAATGTTGGTCAACGTTCCAGTTACTGGATCTTTAGACTGGATCTCAGGGTTTCGGCTGCTTTGCAGTTTTCTGGCAGTTTGTTCCCAATCTGTGGAGCATAGAAGCTGAATGCTGCTTCTCCATGTCTGGTTCTGGTTCTGGATGCAGAGCAGAACAGAACCAGAAGACCTGACAGGCCTGAAGGTTGCTATGGCAACAGCAGCAGATCTTTCATGTTTCCTGGAAATGATCTTCAGCTGATAGAAGGCCGACTTTCTAACCGTCTTTATGTGGCTCTGAAGGTTCAGCTCAGAGGTCAGAGGTCAGCCTGATCTCTGGTTTCCAGCTGGAAGAACTTAAGCTGTGTGTTGACTCTAGATCTGTAGCTCTAGATCTGTAACTCTAGATCTGTAACTCTAGATCTAGGTTTGTCATGGCTCATCATGCATTGATTTGTTCAGTGACTGGATGGTTCAGTCACCTGGTGACATCATAAGGTTGTCATGGTAACCTGGAGGGTTCCAGGGTTGCGGTTCTCCGTTTGGGCCTCCTGTCCTCCGCTGTGGTTAACGCCGATCTCCTGTTTCTGCAGATAAAGAAGCCATTTACAACAGACCCGTCTTCCCCCAGGATGCAGTGCTGCAGGCTGGCAGCTTGGCCTCCTTCTGCTGCAAAGTCCCAGACGATCAACAGTTTGACAAAATGCATCTGGATGGAAATACAGGCAACACCACCAAGATCAGCGAGCATAGATACGCCCTGACTGTGCGGCTGAAACCCGTCAAGGAGTCTGGTGCGGTTGTCCTCTGTGAAACCAAATCAGGAAGAGAATACGGCTCTATTGTTTACATTGGCTGTAAGTAAGAAATGGCGTTCCCATGATTCCCTCCTTTTGGTGAAAGCTCAGATGTTGTTTTGTTCCCTGAATCAGACCCGCCTGGTGACAAAGACCTTCAGTGTGAAACTCGGGATCTGGAGTCGGTGGAATGCCGTTGGAACGAAGGAAGAAACACGATGGTGAAACTCAAGAGTCAGACGAGTTATCAGCTGGATGGAAGGTAAAAGGAAATGATCTCAGTAGATCAGAACAATGGAGGTCAGTTTTACCACAAATAGAGCAAAACGCCGAGACAGAAAGACGTTAGCACTGACCAATCTGCATCTGAGGAGAGGAAGATTATTCTCTTCTAACAGCCTCTGTTAGCAGGTTAAAGGTCATGACCCTGAACCAGTATGGCTGCCTGGTAGTGCTGAAGGAGAAAGTTTCTTCTCTCTAGAAACAATATTGACCTGGAGACCTTTCAGTCTCTGAGTCAACCAGGAAGTCCTGGACTGGGAATATATAACAGGCTAACCAGCATGCTAGCAAGTTTGTTTTAATAGCTAACCAGCATGCTAGCAAGTCATTCTGGATTTCTATCCAGTTAATTAGGAAGCTAGTAAGTTGGCCAGGATGTCTAGTAAACATATCGACAGGTGACACTAAGCAGTATGTTAGCTAGATAGCTAACATTAGTTAGATAACTCTAACTAGCTTACTACTACTGCAGTGGTTAGCAAGGATCCCTAACTTGCTTGTGTTTGTTTTAATATTTTTAATGTGTAACAATGTAAATATTCTCATGACAAACTTGCAAAAAAGTTTGTCTCAATAACTTAGCTTAAGATAAATATCTAGCTTAAGCTAAGTTATGTGAATTCTGACAAGGGAATGTAAGATGGGCCAACTAGCCAGCATGCTAGAAAGTTTGTCTGAATACCTAACTAGCTAAATAACATGCTAGTATGTTAGCTTGGATTTCTGCTCAGTTAATGAAAATATTGACAAGTGATCATGTAGCTTTATAGACAACATGGAAGTTAGTTTGTTCTCACTAACTAATTAGGTTAGCAGATTTGAGAATGAGGAATTAGCAATTTAGCAGCATCCGATGAGCTGTGTACTATGCTAATATGTTAGCATGAAAATCAAACTTGTAAAATAGCATGTTAGCAAGTCCACACATGCAATAATGACACAAAAACATTAAACAGTAAAAATGATCCCAAACAGCCGAAAATCTGCAACAGGATGACTGTGGATGGCCTAGTCAAAGTCCAGACCTAAACCTTATTTTCGTCTTGCAGCCCGTGTGACTCCAGTTCAGAGTTAAGATGCTCTAAAAGGGTAAAGATTGGAGGCGGTGAGAGGAACTGGACTCTAACAGCTCAGAACGTTTTTGGACAAGTGGAGATCCAAGACTCTGCAGATCTGAGCAGAAGAGGTGCAGTTAGCCGCCGCTAAAGCTAAAACCTCCTGGCTTCTTAATCCAGCCTGGCTTACAGTTTCTGTGTTTCAGTTCACATGTTTGCTCCACATGGTCTCAGCGTTGGTGACGTGAAAGCCAGGAGCGTGAGGCTGAGCTGGAGCTGGACGGTGCAGCAGTACCACAGCCTGAACCTGAGCTGCCAGATCATCGTCTCTGACGGATCCGTACGTTCACAGCAAAGGAAGACGCCAGATAGTAAAAATATTACATTTAATCTGAGTTGTGTTGATATAGTTTCTGCAGATCAAACATGGAGTCGGACTGAAGGCGGCAGTTTTAACTGATCTGAGGCCAAACTGGGAATATGAGGTGAAGGTTCGGTGTGGAACAGCCCAACATTTCTGGACCTGGAGCGACTGGAGCAGCAGAGTTTCCTTCCACACGGAGGGCGATGGTGAGTTTCTGAAGAAAACAGGAACTCAGAAATGAGTCTGAACAGTGAATCACTGCCCTGTTGGCTCTGCAGCTCCTGATGCTCTGGATGTGTGGATGCAGAAGAAGGGAAACCAGACTGTGATCGTTTGGAAGGTGAGTCTTCAGCTTCCACCAACCGGAACGTTTTCCAGCACAGAAAGGTTTCGGACCCTCACAGTAACCCTGTTTCCATCAACGTTTGGGAAGAGGAGAAAAGGCAACATTCAAAATAAATTCCTCAATTTTATAATAAACTTCCAATGCTCTCTTGAGATGATTTTTTTTTAGCTTTTCTGAGATCGAAGCACATTCACCAAATAAGTTCTGACTTGATTCACTTTCCCATCCACAGTGCCTTACCAGAGGCACGAAGCTCTGAGAAACTTCCTGTTTGGTTTGGGAGACTCTTCGTTTTCCTCAGATGTTTGGTTGTTGCTAGTTAAACTCTACTTCCTGTTCATTGCAGCCACGTGCAGCATCACCATCTGATGAAAAAACGCTTCATTGTAGATTAAAATGATCAGAGGAGCCTTCTGAGTCTCATTCAGGCGTCGGAGTGACAAGCCCCGCCTACCTGGGAGCGGCTACGTCTGCGGTGTTTTGGGGAAATTGTAGTCGGCCATTTTCCTGAAGCGTTATGGATTCAACATGTTGGAATTAAACACAACATTTTATGAACTGTGACGCTGAGAGCTCTGGTGGAAAAAAACAAACCATCATCCTCTTACCACTTCCTGTCGTCGTCTTCTGCGTTTCCACCAGTAGTAACATCTGGCTGTTGATCATGTGACCCGTTAAAGTGTTTCTGAGAAACCACCTCATGATGACACAACAACTTTTTATCAAAAAACATGATTTGTTTTTTTCAACTAGCGTGTTTCCATTCAGCGAATTTGCTTTCATAATTTCAATTTGTGCAACTTTATGGCTAAAGGAAACGTAGCTGGAGGCGACTTCCTGTTTCTGGGAACACGACTGTCGATCCTTTCCAGTCGGTGTCGTTATGAAACGTTCTGCGGTTGAATCCCAACATCTGACCTCATCCTTTCCTGTGTTTTAGTGAACTTACAGGCTCCTGGTCGCCGTGTTTCTCCAGTCTGTTGTTTTCTAACTGCGGCTGTTTCTGCAGAAGCTTCTGGCCAATCAGAGCCATGGAGACGTCACCGGATATGAAGTAACCTGGGCCAGAACCGGCGGCTCGGATCGGCTCAGCAAGGAGGAAGTCAGTGCCAGCGTTCATGAGTACACTTTGGACGGGGATGCCGTCGTCACGGTAACAGCGAAGAACCAGCATGGCCGCTCCCCCCCATCAATCATCACGGTTCCTGCCACCAGTTCAGGTACGATGGAGTCCATGTTTTTACAGAGACCACTGAGGTCCAGACCACTGAGGTCCAGACCACTGAGGTCCAGATCACTGAGGACCAGACCATTGAGGTCCAGATCACTGAGGACCAGACCATTGAGGTCCAGACCACTGAGGTCCAGACCACTGAGATCCAGACCACTGAGGTCCAGATCACTGAGGACCAGACCACTGAGGACCAGACCACTGAGGTCCAGATCACTGAGGTCCAGGTTCTGGACGGTTTCACTGAGATACACTGATCAAAAACACTCAGTTATTTTATAATCATGATTCAAATGTTGTTTTTTTATCTCCATGCTGGTTAGTTGCTGGTTAGTTGCTGGTTTGTTGCTTGTTAGTTGCTGGTTTGTTGCTTGTTAGTTGCTGGTTAGTTGCTGGTTTGTTGCTTGTTAGTTGCTGGTTTGTTGCTGGTTAGTTGCTGGTTAGTTGCTGGTTTGTTTCTGGGTTTGTTGCTGGTTTGTTGCTGGGTTGGTTGCTGGTTAGTTGCTGGTTTGTTTCTGGGTTTGTTGCTGGGTTGGTTGCTGGGTTGGTTGCTGGTTAGTTGCTGGTTTGTTTCTGGGTTTGTTGCTGGTTAGTTGCCGGTTGTCCATTTGGTTTCCAGATCCAGATTAAACCTTTCAGACATCAGTCAAACTCTTTGGAGTCGTTCAGCTGTAACTGCTGGCTCCTCCAGATGATCAGAGCGGTTTGGACGGTTCGTTTGTTCCTTTGGTCAGATCAGAACTTCTTCTTCTCCACATCTGACCCTCAGCGTCTCTGTTTTCAGATGAAACCAGTATGAACCTGTCCTGCTTCACTGGGAGTGATGGGGGCCTCAACCTGTCCTGGTTCCACCATCCAGAAGCTAGCTGTGGCTACATAGTGGACTGGTTCCCAGTGTTGGAGGATGATCCTGTTGACTGGTTAAAGCTGCCTCCCAGTCTGAACTCAGTCAGGATAAAACCCAGTGAGATCCAGTCCATGATCCAGTAAAGTCCTCAGCTGGTCTGTCCGTCCCGTTGACATGTCCTCTGGTTCGTCCTCAGAGAGCGCCGCAGCTGGGCGGAGATACTCGGTATCCATCTATGCCTGCAGGGATGGCGCTCCGATGCTCCTGCAGAGGAAGGACGGCTTCTTCACAGAGAAACGTGAGGCAGCAGCTAGCAGTGTTAGCAGCAGCTAGCAGCGTTAGCAGCAGCTAGCAGTGTTAGCAGCAGCTAGCAATGTTAGCAGCAGTCAGTAGCATTAGAAGAAGCTAGCAACGTTAATAGCAGCTAGCAGAGTTAGCAGCAGTCGGCAGCGTTAGTAGCAGTGTTAGTATCAGCTAGCAGAATTAGCAGCAGCATTAGCAGCAGGGCTAGTAGCAGTCAGCAGTGTTAGTAACAGCTAGCAGCATTAGCACCAGTCAGCAGCATTAGCAGCAGCTAGCAGAGTTAGCAGCAGTCAGCAGCGTTAGCAGCAGTCAGCAGCGTTAGTAGCAGCTAGCAGCGTTAGCAGCAGCTAGCAGCATTAGCAGCAGCTAGCAGAGTTAGCAGCAGTCAGCACTGTTAGTAGCAGCTAGCAGCGTTAGCAGTAGTCAGCAGCGTTAGCAGCAGCTAGCAGAGTTAGCAGCTAGCAGCAGCTAGCAGCATTAGCATTGTTAGCATAGAATTCATTCCCTGATGCCTTACTTTCCTCTCAGTTCCAGGAAAACAAACGAAGCTCTTCCAGCCTCTGTCCTACACACAGCGAGGCTCCGATGTGGAGATCCACTGGGATCCGGTTCCCCTCACACAGCAGCCTGCTTGTATCCATGGATACGTCCTGTACTACTCTAAAAACAATGATAAACCCGTCAGCGTGACCACAGGTAACGCTCACCTGCGCGGCTTCAGGTTCACTCTGCGCTGCTCTTCAGTTCATAAAGCTGAAGGCTGATTTAAAACCAGTTTATAAATCAGAGTTTTTTCATGTTCTGGTTCAGAAAACCCAGCGGGCTCCAGCCTGACCGCCAGGAACCTGGAGAGCGGCTCCTACACCTTCACCGTGGCGGCGCGGACGGCGGGCGGAGCGTATGGCAACACGACCTTACAGGTCCTCCTAAACGACCAGGGTAAGAAACTTCCTTCCACTTCAGGCCAAAACAAGACGGCCATGACGGTTTCCATGGTTTCCGTTTGGTCAGATACTGGAGTAGAGATCCTACTCCTCTGTTTGGCAGAGATGCTGGAGTTGGGGATACGATGCTGCATCCAGACGCCAAGAGATGACAGAATGAATGTAATATTTATATTTGAAATTCATCCATTTTGTTTGCCAAAGATCTTCTATTGTCCATCATGATGCACCACTAGTCCTGGCAGCAAAACATTTTCTCTGTTAGAAGTTTTAAACTTTGGCTTTAAGAACAAAACTGAGATTTAAATATTCACTTTGAGGCTGAAGAACTGAAATCATTTCTAAATAAACCTGTTAAAGGTGATTCTAGGGAATTATTTATAAACATTGTGACGCATCAGATTGTTTATATTTATGTTTCCTGTAAAGGTTTGTATCAAATAAACAATAACAGGAAAGACTTAGGGTCAAAGTTCAGGTGTCGTTTGAGTTTTTAGATGCTAATCTACTGTTTAAAAAAATAAAAATTCCTCGTTGTCACGGTAACGCATCAAAACAAGTATCTGAATGTTGTTTTGATGCGTTGTTTGATGAGAGCATAACATCAGAACCAGAGGGAATAATTATCCATAAGTCAGCAGAAAGTCTGGAAAACGGAGCGCCATGCTGCCCCTGCTGGCAGGTCAGAGGCGTTACAGGAACATTTTAAATGTGTGATTAGTTTGAAAACAAAGAATCTGGATAATTTTACTGTTTTTCTGAAGCAACCTGCAGGTTTCTGAATGTTTTTCTTCTGCAGACGGTTTGAGCAACATCTTCATCTCCCTGGGCGCCGTTTTCATCCTCCTCTTCCTCATCACTGTCCTGTGCTACAGACACTGGGCCTGGTGAGCAACCGGACCTGACAGAACCGACCCAGACAGAACCAAACAGAACCAGACATGTCGTCTCTGACTCTGTTTTTCTGACCCGACAGCATCAAGGAGACGTTTTACCCTGAGGTCCCGAAGCCAAACATGGCCGACTGGTTCACTTCACCTGTAAGTCAGACCAAAAGTTTTCATACCCCGCAGAGCGTTTTGAGCTCAGGTACAAACAGAAAATAATAATTGTGAAAAATAAGGAACATTATTATTTTTTAATAACTTTGCAAAATAAATCTACAGTGTAAAAATCTTACCAAATATTTTTGTCTACATTTTAAATATTCAGAATAAATAAACAAAACAGATAAAATGAATTATCTTGATTATCTCTTTGCTGTGAATTGATGGAGACGTCTCCATGTCTTCCAGGTGAAGAGCGTTAACCCTTACTATCCGTCGGAGCTGGGTTGCCATGGCGAGGAGAACATGGCCGTCCCAGAGCTGCTCCTCAAACCTGCAGAGCCGCTGAACAACAACAACAGCGACCAGGAAGACATGGCTGTGATGTCACAGGCCCCGCCCCTCTACCAGAACAACCCGGCCCTGCGCCGCCACGCCGTCTCCACCGTGTTCCCCAACCTGACATACAACCTGCCGGTGGCGGACCCAGAGCGGCCGGCGGACCCAGAGCGGCCGGCGGACCTGGAGCCGTGCGGCTACCATCCCCAGATTCAGGCTGAGGTGTTCGGTCAGAACCGGGCGGCCCAGAAACCCATCATCTGTGTGTCAGGGTACATCATGGTGCCACAGCAAAGCCAATGAGCCGACATAGAGATGGAGGGAAACATGATGGAGACTCGGCAGAATCAGGTGAATTAAATCTTTAAAGATGTGAATCCAACAATCTGATCCAAACATGAACTTCAAAATAAAACTCCTTCAGATCGTCACAGGATGGCAACAGTCACACCAACATTACTGTCCAAACACGTGGCGACAGGAGAGAGGAACAGCAGAATCACTGAACTAGGAATGAAAACAGAACAAAAAGTTACTGAGAGCGACAACAACTGGAGAGAAGCAGGAAAAATAGCAAACAGTAAGATTCATCACAAAGGAACGCAAATCTTAAAATGAAAGCAGCTAACGTCACACCGTATGTAGCCTACATGCTGGTATGTAGCCTACAAGCTAGTATGTAGCCGACAAGGTAGTATGTAGCGTACATGCTAGTATGTAGCCTACATGCTAGTATGTAGCCTACTCATTGTAATGGTGAGTTTTCCTTCCATCTTAACATTTCTAAATTACATTTGAAACCATCTGGAATATAAAAATTTCAAACTGCTACTGAGCATTTCGTACCGTATTCTGTTTCCAATACTTTGAACCTTTCCATCTTCTTTTTGTTGTTCATAAATAAAAGATTGTAATATTTCTAGTGCAAACAGAACAAGCTGAGACGCGTCCTGCTGTGCTGCTGTTTTAAATGTCTGGAAACTGGAAGACTTGGACTAGGACTTGTCTTTTCTGCTGTTTGTTTTTTACTTAAATTCAACAACTCTTAAAAGTTTAAATGTTTGTAGATATTAAATCTGTGTGAATTATTTTTGTTGTAAATAAACCCTGCTAGTTCTTACTGAGCAGCTGGTGATGATGCAGAGCGAACAGCAGGGGGCGCCAGAGCCACATAAAGTTTATTTTCTTTACTCTTTTTTTTACGTTTAAATAACTGAAGCAGCTTTAAGTTTTTGTACAATTTTCAGAATATATCAAACAAATGAATTATAAAATGAATCAACAGATTTTTGTGTTTATATTTTTCAGAAATAAAACAGTTTGTGTTTCTGACTGGATCTGTAAACCTGAATAAAGTAAATAATTATAAATCAGAACCAAATCATGTTTGTTTTATTAATTAATGTTTACCCAACTAAAACAAAAATATTAAATACATTCAGCTCCAATCAACTCCAAACAGTTACATTTCATGAATATTTAACATTTATCCTTTTAATATTTAACAATCATCTTTGAGTTATTTTAAATTAAAATCCAAAAATCGGCTAAAAGTTGATTTATAATATTTTGAACTTTGATTAAATGTAAGAGAAACGACATAAAGAGATAAAACGTTCAGTCAGCAGCGATTTGCTTTGATCTAAACCTGTTTTAACATCATCTGGTTTTTATTACAAAGGTTCTGGTTCTGGTTCTGACCCGATGGAAGAAGGTTTTCCTCTTACTTGTCTTTTAAATTCAGATGTTTTTTTATCATGCGTAACCGTGACAACGAGGTATTGGGGGCGGGGGGTTACAACTTGGTAGTTAGCATCTCAAAATCCAAATTAATACTTGAACTTTGACCCCAAATCCCAGAGCAGAAGGAAGTTCAGAGAGTCGTCTCCATCATATCTGACCAAACAGGAGCTTCAGAGTGAAACCTGCAGCATCAGCAGCAGCTCTGAGAGAAAACACCATGCGCTCACACACACCTGACAGTCATGTTTCTGGACTGAGGGAGGAAGCTGGAGTACCCAGAGAGAACCCAGGATGAAGAGGGACAACATGGAGACTCCATGCAGAAGGACCCGGGCCGGGAATCAAACCCAGGATCTTCTTGCTGCATGGCAGCAGCTCTACCACTGCACCACTGTGCAGCCCAGGAAATGATATTTTATTTTCTTCTGTTTGGGAGAAATAAATTATTTTACATTAAATGATTCAGAAGCAGAAAAATAGAAACATGTTCAGAATATTGAGGATTTTTTAATAAAATGTTTGTAGATTTGGGGAGAAAATATCAGAACTCGACTCAGACGGACGCATTTTTCACAACAAACTGATTCAATCCAAACAGGCTGAGGAAGATCCTCGTCCTCCTCCTCTTCCTCCTTTTCATCCTCCTCTTCCTCCTTTTCATCCTCCTCTTCCTCCTTTTCATCCTCCTCTTCCTCCTCTTCCTCCTCCTCCTCTGAGCAGCTTTCAGTTGTCCCTCCTGGTTCCCCTCCACATCAAACCTTCTCTGTGTTTGGATGTTTATTCTCTGACGTCGCTGCCGAAGCGAAACCTCAACTCTCCTCTCCGTGTCCCGAGCCGCTCGGCGTCACCGCAGTGATGTCACCGCCTGCTGCAGTGATGTCACCGCCTGCTGCAGTGATGTCACCGCCTGCTGCAGTGATGTCACCGCCTGCTGCAGTGATGTCACCGCCTGCTGCAGTGATGTCAGCACCGCTGGTGACTTTCAGATGTTTGAGTCTTTCTGCTTGGAGGAAAACCAACCAATCAGAACCTGAAGCATCTTCACACCTGGAAATGAGGAGGAAGTGACTCTTAAAGATGTAAAAATGAAGTTTGGAGGAAAAATCAATCAGAATAATTTGGCCCAATTTTTGTAGGACTGACCTGATTCAGAATAATGAAACAATCCACTAGAAAAAATCCTGAATTTCCTGCAGATTAAAGTTGAAACTGAAATAAACTAAAAGCAAAATGAGGTCATGTTGAGTCTGGAGGAGCTGCAGAGAGCCGCAGCTCAGGAGGAGGAAAATATGTTGCGAAAATCATAGCTAGCATACCGTAGCTAGCATAAAATGGCTGACCAATCATCCATCCAGCTGATCTGCTGTTGGAGAAACTTCAGAAAAACCCTAATGACCTCCTGGCCGACTAAAATCAGACGATGGGTTTAACATTTAAATACGGTTAAAAACATTCTGAAAGTCAAAGGTTCTTCACGTTTTGTAACATCGTCTGTTGGTTCACCCAGAAGCTAACACTGTTCAGAAGTTCTTGTTATGAAAGGCAGGTTTATGTGGTAGAATGGCCTAGTCAAAGTCCAGACTTAAAGCTAACAGTATGAATCGTTTCAGTGTGTTTATAAAAACGTCATTAAAATACCAGAACGGTTCTGTTGGCTTTCACTTGTTCCATCAGTCATCTCCCCATAGACTGGCTCTGTGTGTGTGTGTGTGTGTGTGTGTGTGTGTGTCTTCTGCTGCTCCACCTATAGTTACAGTAATTACTCCGGCTGTGACAGATCCAAACACACACAGTCTGTTTTCAGACCTCATGCTCTGAAGCTAATCATTTAGCACCAAACAGGATCAGATTCTGGTCCAGACCCGGTCCGGTCCGGTTCAGAGGATCTGTGGAAACTGAAGTTCCCAGAACCAGAAAGGAACTCCAGTCCGTTTATCAAGAAAGTCCAGTTCTGATGTGAACGCTAACCGAACTCTGACCTGTTCACAAGCATGAACTCTTCCATGGTATACAGGAAGTGGACTACAGCGCAGGGGATTCTGGGTAAATCCAACCAAAGCTAATATGCTAGCCAAAGACTAAAGAGAAATCCTCCAACCGCTAAAATCTGACGCCTCCATCTTGTTTCCATCTGGTGAAGAAGGAAGTTGCTCTCAGTGTCTTCAGAGGTTTTAATGTCGTTTCCTTCAGTGGGTCTTGGTGTAGCGCCCCCACAGGCCAGGAGGGGAACAGGCTGGTTTGACTCCAGCTGCGTTTCCATCGACTATAACTCACCAAGATTGCAATTCTGAATTAATTATTGGTACATTTAGCAGTTTGGTTCGGTCTGAGGTCCAGCTTCAAATCATGAACATCATGAAACTCTGAAATGTTCTGGTGGACCGGGATTCAGAAAACCCAGTGGACCAGAACCAGCAGAACCTGTGATGAAGCTTCACTCTGGATTCTGGTTCTTTCTGCTCTTCCTCCAGACGCTGAGACCTCGATTCATGAATAAAATCTAAAAAAAAACCAACAACAACAATTTAGACTGAACAACAGTCCGGTTCTGGTTCAGAAGGTTCTGGTTCGGGTGTAGCTTCATCTCTGTTTTCACGTCTCTTAAAGTTCTGACTTTTTGTCCCACAGTTTCTCCTTCCACTCAACTTTCCGCTGAAATGCCTGAACGCTCCGTTTGGTTCCTGCAGCGCATCGTAACAGAACTTCTTCTGGGTTTTAATAAACATTAAAATGATTCTGATGATATTTTAGTTCATTTTCAGGCTCAGAGAGAAAATCTGACATTTAACCTGAACTTCACTATAAATGTGTAAATGAAGAGAAAACATCATGGTGAGTCACGCTGGGAGTGTGTGTGTGTGTGTGTGTGTGTGTGTGTGTGTGTTTATTCTGACTGACTCACCCCGCTCGCTCGTTCTCTCTCTCTCTCTCTCTCTCTCTCTCTCTCTCTCTCTCTCTCTCAGATTATCAAACATTATTCCGGCTCCCTCCTCTCCTCTCTTCCTTCTCGTCTCTCCGGGGTTTTTTCCGCTCCGGTACCGGTTCGGCGGCCCGCGGAGGTTCTGCAGGTGAGTCCGGATGATGACTCGGTCGGTGTCGGTGCCTCTGAACTTCACGGCAACTTGAGCGCTTTTTAATGAACAAACGAGAAACGCAGATTTATTTTAATCCACTGTGGATGATTTGTGTCGCTGCTTTTAATTTATTATTCATGTTTTAACCAGAAACTGAAACATTTAACAGTTTTATTCAGATTTATTTCGTATTTCTCTCTTATTTTCTGTAGAAACATCTTTAAATCTCGTTTCAGTGACTCATTTATTTATCATATTTACTGTATTTAACTCAGAGCGTTTTCTGATTATCAAAGTAAAACACTTTTTATTTTAAATATAAAGTAAATAAAACAGAAACGTCCTTTGGAAAGAGTCCGGTTCGGACCCGAGAGTGTTCAGCTGCTGTTGCCTCATCTGTCCACCAGAGGGCACCGATCAGTAACGATGGCCTTTAAATTACAGTAAAAACTCAGATTTGTTACCTTTTTTATTGTCTTTGTTATAAAAACACGTGATGACTCTTTAGATATTTGTTTAAATTTTTTCTGATCAAACAGAGACCTGGAACATGATTTTAACTTTTTATCTTTTTTCTGGCTTCAGTTTGTTTCATTTGGATTTTATGTGACAGAAAATGATCATGAAACAGAAGGAAAATATTTTAAATAGTTTTCAACAATTTTTATAAATAAACTCTGAAAAGTGTGGAGTACATTTATATTTAGTCAGCTTTAAACTTCTGCAGTCTGAATCTTTAATTTAAAACGTTTCCATCTCAGTCGGGTTGGAGGGAGAACATCAGTTTTAAAACCCTTCTACAGACTCAAATCTAGACTTTGACTAGGCCGTTACATGAATCAGCTCTGATCTAAGACATTCAATACCTCTGGCTGGATATTAAGACCTTTTTTTCAGATCAGCTACATTCACATTAAATGTTTAATTTACTTTTTGCACTAGATTTTATTTGGGGGCATCAGAGTAAAGGCTGAGTATACATGCATGCCACACTTTACAGTTTTTATTGTGGTTTTTTTCAGTTTATCATTATTTATATCACAGAAAAACCCAACAAAGTTTCTCAGTTTTTGGTTTTTATTTTTTAAGGCTTTGCTAACGACGGCTCATTGTCCAGATACCAAAATAAATGTCAGCCGCACACTTCAGAACATTTTCCTCTGTCCATCTGGGTCACAGAGACACAGCAGGTGAAAGTCAGAAGGGATTCATAGCTCCTCCTGGGGTTCTGGAGGTTTTCCTGGATTTTCCTTAGTTTTCCTGGGTTTTCCTGGATTCCTCCTCCTGGTTCTGGATGGGAAAGGTGCTGTGGTCCAGACAGGAAGTGCCAGTGTCACCGCGTTTCATCGCCACTTCAGGAGAATCCGACATTTCAGGAAACAAAACGTCGGATCGGCGGCAGGATGAAAATCCTGCAGTGGAAGTGGAGCCGAGTCCGTCGCCTCGAGGGAAACCTCAGCCGACGTTGCACCTCATTATGGGATGGACGAAACTCTGATGTCATCTGAAAACGTTTGATCCAATTCTGAATCCTTTTGGAATCCAGTAGCAGTCAGTGTCACAGTAAATGTGAAGAGGCCTCTGACTGCAGACTGACATGCTAACAGCTCTACATCCAGGAGCAGACATGATATTTCAGTTATTAGCTAGATCTGCTCATCCTTTGTGCCTTACCAGAGGCGCCAGACATGTGGTTCATGTTGCTTAGCAACTGCTACTTCCTGTTAGCAACAAATGTGTTGATTAGATGGTTAAATTAGAGAATAATAATGAATAAAACACGTCAAAGTTACATTTCTGTAGAAAACCTTCCATCTTTTCCAGACCTGGTTTTGTTTTTAGCAGAAAATGAAAAACCAGGATTTCAGGATGCTGAACGAGTAGAGAACGGTTCTGTTGGTTCTGTTGGTTCTGTAGGTTCTGCTGACGGTTCTGTTTCCTCTGCAGCTCTTCATCCTGCTGACGTCAGGTCAACGGGGATCTGCTGAGGCGTTCAGGTTAATCGGATTATGCGGCTCTCCCCTCCGGCCCCTCCCTGTCCATGACGGCTGCCATGGAAACCCCGTTCTACCACGACGACGCGCCGGCGGCGCCCAGCTTCAGCCAGGTGGCCGAGTACGAGCGCTACCCGGGCGGGAAGATGCTGATGAGCAAGAAGGCGGCGTCCATGGGCGGCGGCCACCACTTCCTGGGCGGAGGCAGCGCCGCGGCAGGAAGGAGCGGTAACCACGGCAACCTGGGCCTTCCCGGCAGCAGCGCCCTGATGGCGCCCGGCTCTTCGTCCGCGGCGGCGGACATGAACCTGCTGAAGCTGGCGTCCCCGGACCTGGAGCACCTGATCATCCAGTCCAATCAGGGCCTGGTGTCCACAAGCCCCGCCTCCGGCGCCGCCAACCCCTTCCTGTACCGCAGCCAGGCCACCAACGAGCAGGAGGGCTTCGCCGACGGCTTCGTCAAGGCGCTGGCCGACCTGCACAAGCAGAACCAGCTGGTGGGCGGCGGACACGTGTCCCCGTCTGCGTCCTACCAGAGGAACCTGATGTCCGGCGGAGACATGCCCGTCTACACCAACCTGAGCAGCTACACCCCGGGGCAGATGCCCTACGCCGGGGGGCAGATGGGGTACGGCGGCGGCCCGCAGACCCACGGCCGCGGCCCGGACGCCCCTCAGACCGTCCCCGAGGTCCCCCACCCGCCCGGCGACCCCGCGTCCCCGCCGTCCCTGTCCCCCATCGACCTGGAGACGCAGGAGCGAATCAAAGCCGAGCGCAAGAAGCTGCGCAACCGCATCGCCGCGTCCAAGTGCCGCAAGCGGAAGCTGGAGCGGATCTCCCGCCTGGAGGAGAAGGTGAAGGTCCTGAAGAGCCAGAACTCGGACCTGGCGTCCACCGCCGCCATGCTGCGGCAGCAGGTGGCCCAGCTCAAGCAGAAGGTCATGAGCCACGTCACCAACGGCTGCCAGATCGCCGTGGCGACCGGAGCCGCCGCCAAGTCTGGAACCGGCAGCGAGGACTCCAGCTGCTGAGCGGGAAGACACCTGGACGACACCTGGAAAGGTGAGGAGCCGTCGGCCAATCGGATCGCAGCGGAGGCGGAGCCAGACGAAACATTTCCGGTTTGGGATCCTTTAAAACGGCTCCTGGGATTTATCCGACCGTTTGGTTTTCCTGACAGGAGATTTTATTTCAACATTTTAAGGATTAAAACTGAAGAAACATGAAAATAAAAACTCTGCAGTTTGAAGACAATTTTCCAAAATCGAAACAAAAAACTTTGTAAAAATGTTTTAATTTCCATATTTTAACAGTTTTCATCCAAATCCATCATAAACTGTCATTTTCTCTTCATATGTTGTTCATGATATTTGAAATCTTCTCTGCAGTTTTGTCAGTTTTTAACAAAAACGTTTCCTCATGTTAAAAAACAAACATTTAAACTTTTCACCTCCAGTTTCTGGTTTGGAATCGGTTAAAATGACCGACTTACATTTATCATAAAATCTGATCAGATGTTTTATGTAACGTTGAAGGTTTTGGGGGAAAACATGATTTTCAATCTTTCTACATGAAAATATTCATGGATGTAAATTTATTCAGACTGTTGGGGTTTTGTGGCTGAGCAGGTAAAAGTTTTTTATTCTCACTTTATCCAGAAAATATTTTCTGAGCTGAACTACGAACCTGCAGCTGGTAGATTTTATTTTATAGACGAACGGTTTGAAGGGAAATACTGGAATTAGGAGCTAAATTAGATTTTTTAGAAGTGAAGTGAGGCGTCAGGTTCTGTTTAGAATAAAGCAGATAAATAGATACGATGAACCCAGTTTGGTTTCAGATTTGGCCTCTTTAACGTTTTTAAAGATTCTTGGGTTCAAACTGAGGGTTAAGTCAGTTTTTAGAGGATCTTTTATGGATCTTTGGATCGATGCTGAATTTTTCTGTCATGTTTCAAACAGGACTAAACTGTAAGCTCATTGTTGACTGTATGAAATTAATGATTTGCTTGTTTTCTGTTGTCATTATAAGCTACTGCTCCAGTTTTTATAAATGTTTCTGAGTCCTGCATGGAGATTTCTACGACATTTAAATAATCTGCTCCTCCAGTTTCATGTGGTTTCATGGAAATTCACGCAAATTTATCTGATCCTGCAACAAAATTATGACTTTACTGTAAATTTCCTACAAAACTAGTCAAAAGCGTTGTTTAAATGATGCTACCTCCCACCTGCAGGTGGCAGTAGCTCTTTCTTCTACTTGATGTTCAGTTTGAGGTGGATGTCACTAAATTCTGCACAAATATTTCTAATGGGCTCTTTGCACGTCAGCTTCCGGTTCGGTTGTTTCTGATCTATAGAAAATGGCCTTTTCCACCAGGAGCTGCAGGGCTGATGATGAACATCGATCTGAAGCCCAACAAGCTGGAGAAATGTTTTTAGATGTTCGCCTCGTTATACATTCACTGACACGAAGGTGAGTTTTACTTAAACTTTGTGGCTAACATTAACGTTAGCTTATGCTAGTAGGCAATATTCTCGGACACATTGTAAAATGTGCTATTTAAGTATCTAAACATTCTAACGGACAATGTTTTTACCTTATTTTCAAGTATATTATGTGTGTTTATTGTCGTTAGTGTCAGACTAACGGGGTTGGGTTACGGTTCGGACTTTTTACTTCCGAAGCCTGACGGAGCTCAACAAGCCTCATAGCTTGACAGTAGCGCAGCTCTGGTGTCAGAGATCTGGTTCAGCTGTTCAGGTTCAAAGTTGCTGCTTTTAGAAAAATATGACCGTGTTGCTTGATGTCTCGGTGTTATTTCGTTTTATTACCTTTGCATGTTTCTTGTGAAGAGCTCAGATAGGTGTTTACAGCAGTATGTACAGGCGGATCAGTTGCTCGGCTGTCTGGCTCTGGTCTGCTGTCTCGTTCCCATATACTCGCTTTTTCAGGGTGAATATAGAAGTGATTCCATGGAAATAACTCAGNGAGGNTCCTTT